AGCTTCCAGACCATGGAGGTTGCCAGGACGGGCAAGATGGTGATGCCCCAGCCGACTGATCAGCAGCTGGGTGGCCATGCCGTGTGCGCCGTGGGTTACGACGACTTCAAGCAGTGCTTCATCGTCCGGAACTCCTGGGGCGAGGGGTCGCTTGTTCGTACAGCTTTAGCCTACTAAGGGGTAATGGAGCAGCATTTGCTATTCCTGTTTTGGATGCGTCTAGAATCTGACACTTTGGTGGTTGTTTTCAAGACATTTTGGAACATCAAGATGTCCAGGAACTTGAACATAAGTTTGGGCACGGAGTCTAAATCTGTACTTTCAGTGGGAGACGGTAAGTACACAAAGGTGCAGGGAATGTAAAAAGAAAGCCTCGCAATTCATGGAATGCTGGGAAGCTAATTTAGGGAGCAATCAAAGCGGTTGTGTGTTTCACCGATGTTACTAGCCAAGAGCCCAAGAGACCATCTAAAAGCAAGAGTTCTAACACCGCTGGTCTGAGCTTCATGATTGGGATCTTCGGGGTTAGCCAGGGATGTCCAGTTTTTGGGGGGGACTTATAGATTTTTGTGTCACTGCACACGCTTTTTGATTCCTGCTCCCAGGTGCGAACCCATATGTGTAGGCTGTATTGGGCCAATAAGTGGGGAGAACGAGCGGAGCTACCTGAGATACATGGTTCTCTTAGGTTTCATGTTGTGTGCACAAATTCTGTGAACTCAGGTGGGGTGACAAGGGCTATTTCTACATGCCTTACGAGTACATGTGCCACCCTGCGCTTGCCTCCGACTTCTGGGCCATCAACTGGGTGGAGGGCTTCAAGAACACCAGCAGTGCCTCCAGCAGCGCGAAGGGAGGGCACTCAAGCGTGGAGTCCCTCCCGCTGCGGACGACCATGAAGTTCGGCTGGCGTCCAGACATGCCGGATCATCGCGATCTGCACGTGACCTTTGACAAGAAGGACGCCCCCAGCCAGATCAAGAGGAAAGCCGAGGGAGCCTTTGTGCTTTAGGAGGGGTTTGTGTTTGTTTTGTTTCTTCATTTCCTGCGCTGCCGCAGCAGAATTACGCCTGCTAACTTTCCTTTATCTCGATCGCCCAGGAACAAAGGAGATCATCGACCTACGACCTCAGAACGGTGGCTTCCCCATCTTTGATCAGGGACACTTAGGCAGCTGCACAGCAAACGCTTTGGCGGCGGCCTTCCACTTCACCCTGCACAAGATGACGGTGGAGAACCACAAGGATTTTGCGGACTTCACCCCAAGCCGCCTCTTCATCTACTACAACGAGCGCTTGGTGGAGGGCAGCGTGAACCAGGATGCTGGCGCCATGCTCCGTGACGGCATCAAGG